CCAAACTAAAACTGACTTCATGGTTTAAACAAATTATGCGGTTTTCTTGGTTTGAACTTTGTTGGAAACATATGAGAGAATGCAAGCAGAAGCTATGTTAACAGCTAGCACACAGTGAGGGTGACATAGTGTAAGGATAGACCGGACTCACTGCAGAGACTGGTCATACGGATTCTTCAGCCTCTTTTAATTCAGTCAAGATCCTCAGTCATGACCCCGAGGCAGGAGAGAGGGTTCATATCACAGACAGTTTATTCTGTAATTTGACAGACTCAAATTACTGTTGTTATGTATGTAATAACTGTTGTTATTACATGATAATCTTGTCCTTTGTATAACGTACAACCGATGATGCCAGAAGTTCCCTAGTCTGTGATACTGTCATCATTTTCTTACAGTATGTCTTAGCTGTAACTCTCTAAGCTCTTATCTTATTCAGGGTTAGGTAAATATGGAGTCCACTGTGTTGATGCATGTCTGTTGTAGCCTGTCACATGCAAACACACACAACCTCACATGCCAGCACAGCACAGAAAGGTTTACAGTAAACAGTGAGTGATCATCAAGGTGCTTCACCCAGCTATACTCTGTACTGAGTATTACTTCATGCTGTATGTATATCTGAGTTCTGATGTCTGTTTAGTTTCTGTGAAGTTTTGTATACCCTGTAGAGCACGGTACTGTTCTAGTGGTCATTTTGATTTCTTGGTTTTTATTAAATTTCAGTTTCTATTTTCAGCTCCTTCTTTCTGGTGTGTCTAATTCCCTCAGTGTTTGTGTGGCTTCATCTCCCTCTGTCTCATCTTTCTGCTTATTCCTCTGTTACTGATGTCTAGGATGAGTCTTCTTGTTTCTCTGCATTGGCCTTTTTGTTGCTTTCTGCAAAATTTAAGGCTAATTTTCTTTTTGTGAATGTTCTCACCTATTTTATTCATGTTCACTTGTGTGCTGCTCCCCTCTGTTTCTTGAATTTTTTTTTTTTAAAGTGTTCAGAGAGTGAATATATTTATATATAGCTCAAAAAAAGTTGAAATAAGTTGAAATAATTTTGCCTCCAGTCTTTGGAGCCTTACCTCTATACTCTACTCTACAATAAGGGTAAACATGAACTGATACTATTTGCCCAGCATCAGCTGGGCAAGGTTCCATCCCCTATAACTAACATGACGCTGGTGCAGAACCTGTTTCATCGAGAACCAGCTACAATTCCACATATTTGAGAGGCGATAATAAGTAGAATTACTAGCACAAGCAGCTAAATTCCATGAGGAGCAAGTCACGATGGACAGAATCTGTGAATTCTGTAGTACTGCCTGCTGCTGCATAAAAGTCCAGTAAAAGATAAATGAGAACTATTCTGATCTGTCTGTTGTGCAAAGCTAAGCAGGTAGGATCCAAGGATAGAAATATTTATAAATATGTATAAAATATATTTGACTTTTCTCAAGGTTTTGTATTTTGCAAAAAGTCCAAGTCTAAAAAGTGGGAAAACAGTGATATTAGATTATATATATATATAAACAAATTCCACAAGAAGATCTTTACATTTCCCTTGTATACATGCATTTAAATGTGAGCGTGTGCGAGCTGAGAGATAGACAGTACAAAAATATTATTCACTCATAAAACTCACATGGAAAAACAAAACTTTCAAGAGATTACTAACTAAAGGAATCAAATAAACCCATGTGCCCAGATATTTAATGATATCACTAAATTTTTTAAAAATGTAAACGTCAATATTCAGTGAGAACAAACCTGTGCTGACTACGATAACAATGATAGCAACAGCATTTTAGACCTTTTTCAGTCGTTTTGCAGGCATATCTCTAGATATTACTTGCTTCAGGAAAATCAATCAGCAGCTAACATTAGACAGTACTGTATCACATCCCCTGTTTGCCAGTAAAGGTCAGCCGAGTGAAATTACGTTAGACTACAATGTTAACCATGCTCAAAATGAATTTGCTGGATTGTAAAAACGGAATTAGCTGTTGCTGGTTGTTGCTAAAGCAAATTGTCGATTTCAGAACAATATCCTGCTGAAAGAAATATTCATTCTGTATGTGACGCGGTGATTTTCTCCGACTCCTGTGAGGCCGGTGCAAAGCTGTGAGAAAAGAGCGAGTCCATTTATTTGTTAAGGCAATTGATTTCTCCAAAGAACAAGAATAGATATGAGTGGTGACACACACTGAGAAATCACTCAGGCTCTCTATGAGGGCATTCATGTGTCTGCCCTTTGCTTTGGTGAAAAATCCCAAATGGGTATTTAAGCTTCACGTGGGAATTCGGTTTCTTTCTTTATTTCTAACATAACTAGACTGCCTGGAGAAAAATGAAGACGCACGACAAACAAATCTGTGCTATGCTTTTTTAATGCAGAGAAATAAGTCTGATTAGTCTGATCCACACTCTCCTTTTTGTTCACTCTCAGTTTGTTTCAGCAGGCATGCGGTGATGTAAGTTAACTTCAGATAAAATATTGTAAACAAATATGTACACATGGTAATATAGCTGTCTAAAACCATTCTTTCAATAAATGTAAAGTTACTGTAAACATGCACTCTTTCATCACTGAGCTCTCTCTGCACCCAGGCTCCACTCGCTCCGATTAAAGGATAACGATATGCTGTTGTGACATCTCCACAGTATTGTACTATTTACCAGTTAGGCTAAATGGCTTTATATTTGAATGAAATGATGAACCTGAACTCCACCCAGCGTCCTGAATGATGCTGATCACGTTTGGGTGGGGTTTGGCTGGACATCTTGTGTGTTTTTATGGGGCCTGGGTGCGAGAGGGAAGACTCGGCATGCTTTTAAAGGGAACCAGAGTACAAAGGCATGAATGCCTGACCCTACGGCGGAGCTCAGTTTGCACCATCAGAGCGTCTCTGCAGTCATATCTGTGGGACAGTTTTCCACAAACTCACATCTTGTTTAGTTGTAATACATACACATTTAGACTCTCTGAGAGGTGTACATTACTTGTTTGGGATTACATTTTTAGTCATTTTCTTGAGATTTAGATCAGTATTTTAAACAGAATGATCTCATTTAAGGTCCACATGTCACCTTTATATGCTGGATTTTTGTGGTCGATCCCTATTTTTCAAAAAAAAAGAAAAGAAAAGAAAAGAAAAGCACGAAGTAATTGGAATAATTTACACATTCATAAATTTGGTATTAGTCAACACTCAAATGTCTCCAAGAGTATTTGAGCCACTGCCCTTACAATTTCAGTTGACGATTGCCCACTTTTCTGTCTATTTGCTATGTTATCAGTAACCAGCATGGACACTGCTTTCTAGGCTAAATTTGGTCCGACAGTCAAAGACTTTGAAACAATGTATCTTTAAATTTGGGTGAAAAGTGAAAAGACTTTTGAAGACTACATAAAAATCCTTGTTGGCTGCAACTAGGTCCAGGTTAAAGACCAAAGGTTACTGTGCTTTCCAGATTGTTTATTTTAATTTGGTGTATACCTGTTTCTGTATTGTGAAGCACTTTGTGAAGCACTATATAAATAAACCTTATTTATTTCTTACTAAAAAAAAAGGAAATTCAATTCAATTTTAGTTCACTTCAGTTTTGTTTATATAGCACCATTTCCCATTAAGAGTCATCTGAGTAAGTGAAGTCCCTAGAATATCAGAGAGAGAACCACAACAATCAGCTTATCGAATAAGAGCAAGCGCCTGGTGACAAGTAGACACAGGCTCAGGGAGAGGCTGGTATCTGCCTCACCTGGTTGGGTGGAGAGAGCAAAGGGAAGAGGGGAAAATGAGTATAGAGAGAGCACTAAAAGCAAACAGGATAAAACACAAACCTCAGAGGGTACACAGAAAGCTAATGACATGCCATGGTTGCATATAAACACACAGAGAAGGAAAAGATGGAGAGAAGGAGATGGGAAGTCACCAAGCAGGCTAAGCGTCAAAGGTCTGCATTAAAGACCCAAAGCCATGTGTGATTTCTTTCTCCAATACAATATTCATTTGAGATTTGATTTGATTGTGAAATGATTTTAATCCCACAGGTACACAGACTCTTATTATTCATGAGTCGCAACTTTTTAAATGTAAAATGTTTTTGCCGTTTATAGATGTCTACACGAGAATTATGTTATTGTTGAATTTTGTGTTGCACGGTGAGCTTCTTTCTACCAGCTTTCACACAATCAAAAGTTATTGTTTCCATTGCTAGTCTGACAGCGTGAAAGTTGTGGGTTTGAAGATAATTCGTTTATTTTTTGACCACATTTATTAGCAAGGAGGCTTTTTATATGCTGTTTTCACCTTTCAACCAAATCTCAACATTGTTTAGACTTCTAGCAAAGACTTCTTTTCAGTGTCTTGTTAATGAGTAACTTGCTGGATGATTCTGATTTGGGAATTGCTTATTGACTGGATTCCCATAGAAGTTTTGGTTTCCCATCTAGGGGCCCTTTCTAGGCTGAAAAGAAGTATCTACTCTGTTGTATTTATTTCTGACAACCCTAAAAACTGTTGGCTGTGGCTCAATATGGTTGCTCAGCAGAATTGCTCACAGACCCTGGCTGACAAACCCAGACAGAGCAGCTATCCCTACATTGCTGTTTTGGCACACTGGCAAGTCAAGTCAAAGCTGGTGCAAAATGATTCACTCACTTTTAAGTTGTGTCGATCCTTGACCACAATGGAAACAGACTGGCTGAAAGTACCATTGGTTGGCTGTTCAGGTAAGCATTTGCACCACTTGCTTATTGCTCTGAGCTTCTGCAGCTGATATGTAGCTGCTAGCATGACTACAGACATGTTTGTAGCATAGGCTGTGTATAAAAGATGCTCATGTCAGCCATTAGTTACTAAAGTGAGCTTTTTAATCTTGTGGTTTTGAATCAGGAAGTGAAGGCAAAGGGTGGATCTGAACGAGCAGCCGAGCTGCAATCCAATTTGTTATTCACATGTTCTTTTTTACTCTAATGAGAAACAAATTACAAAATGAACATCATGACATCATGGTGTATTTAAAAAGACTTTTGTCTGTCAACTGTGACCATAACGTCATCAGGAAAAGGTTATCTCTTGTCACAAATCACGGGGACTGAGGGCAGTTTTCTCATAGACTTCTTCCAGAAGTCTTTTTAAGCCAGAGGAGTCGCCCCCTGCTGGACACCATACCAAATTCAGGTTTAAGGCACTTCGGCATTGACTTCACTTGTCAGACCCAGAGGCTACATTCATCTTCTATATACTACAGTTTCTTTTGATTTATTTGCTTCTGTCAATATATCGGCCATAAGCTCACATTATTCATTTAGATTTATTGATCTATAGTATCTTATTGATATCTTATTCCAGTGTTTTTCTCTATTTTTTCTATGTAACTTTGCACTGTCCACTGCTGTAACAAAACAAATTTCCCATGCGTGGAACTAATAAAGGTTATCTTATCTTACTCTGATATGCAATCAGCTTTCATTGCACGGCTGTTGATATAAGATTATTGTAAAAGCTCTGCAAACTAAGTATTTGAACCATGAGATCGTTTTGCCATGAATGGTGCAAAATCGAAATTTTTCCCTGTTCCTTACTCACTGTGTACAAGACCACCTAGGAAGTGAAGGCGACAGGACAGTAGATTCAAATGTAACGATCTGCATCAGTGTAGAAAACTGTCTTCAGAGAACAACTGCAGCAGCTCTGCATGGTGAAGAACACTGATCTGAGCCCCTCTAAGCTAAAAATTCCACATTATTAACAGTGATATATTAAAAACACATTTGTGTGTATAGTATACATGACCTACACCTACTTTCCAGAAATATACATATAGTTTGTCTGCACATAAATTATAATATACTTTGCCGTATTTGTTGGAACAGTAATATGGTTACATTCTTTAAACAATGAACTCCATCGTCTCAGGCACACGGCCTTCTGTTTTGACAAATGATGAATCGCACCACATGGCACCTTGCAGTAGTGCCCTACTGGCACTGGGATATGCACTCTGACAGCTCACTTGACATTGTGAATTGATGTTTGACATGTTATTAAGGGTAAGGTTTCAGTGAAGGAGAGATAGACACTCCCTGAAATAGAAGGATAAATTTAGTCCTCTTGTCAATGCTCTGGTAAATAAAAACCCCAGGGGCCCTGCTCTTATGCCCTTGAGGGGATTTATCCCAGTCCTCTAGAAGCATGCACAGTGGCTGCTGTTGTTTTGATCTTTATCGTAGTGATGGTGTGCAGCCACAGATGACAAATGAGCTCTCTGAGAAAGCAAAGATGAACTAGAGTGTCTCTAAGCTCTACTTTTAGTCTAGTCTCTAGTTGGTTTATATGGAGACAGCCTGAAGTCTACTTCCAGATCGTCTGCACATCTGCGAATACTGTGGGGTTTTTGTTTGTAGGCCAGTCATGCTAAGAGGCTGAGCTCCCTGCATGTTTCCACCTATTCCAGACCACTGTTACGCCTCAATGCGAACAATCCACAAACAAAATAAGTCAATAATGAATGAGGCTTTCCACTCCTCTCCTTTCCTTGGCTGTACTGTGTTGCTAGTCTGTGGGGACATCCTGGAGTGCGAGCTCTTACAAGCAACCGCTGTTTCATTATTCATAACAAAGAGGTGGATCTTACTCTATTTACTCACTGACCTTGTAAACAGCCACAGCTACTGCCATACCATTCTCACTTTAACCCTGTTTTTCACTGTAGTAGTTTTTCTCATCATACCAGCTGGTTCCTTTACACCCTCCATCCCCACACAATTACTTCCTTTATTTCTTTTCTGAGCTGTGCAGAAATCCCAGCAGCCAAAGTTGTGTTTAGGAGGCAGTGCAGTACTGGTATATGGCTGAGTTTGTTGAGCAGGGGGTGGTTTAGACTGAGAGTCTTAGAAATTGTAAAAGTGGCTGAGACTAAACCCATATTTAAAAGTTTGAGACAAGACTTGGAGGATGATTGTTACACAGGAGTAGGTCGGTACTATATACTGAGAGTCCTCTTGTTTTGTTAGCCATCAGTACAGGTTACTTTGGGAATCAATTGTCTGTAGGCATCCCAACATGAGGAATTTTCCACTTGTCCGTATTTTATTCCTGTGTTCAAACTGTGTGCAGTGTACCAGTTGGCCCATTTTGCTGCCTGTACAGTGGGCGTGTGTGTATATATGTACTGTATATGTGTGTGTGTGTCTGTTTTTTTCATTTGTGTAAATGCCTATGTTCTAATCACGGCTCCGGTTGCGTTTCTTGAAGAAGAAGAAAGGCGTCTTTTGAGGTGGGCCCAGTAAAATGGGCACCTGGTTCTTGTGCGTGATCCTGACCTGCAAAAATCACAGAGAAAGAAATTATAATCTATACGGAGGTGAATGTCTTTGATTTGTTTACCAGGATTTATCTGGTTTGACAGACAAATTACTGTGACCTTGCAAATAACTCATATAACACAACAAAGCTCTGTATTTTTCCCTTCTCTGAAGGTCTGCTAAGAAATAAAATGAAAATGTTTGAAATGCTGAGAGAATGAATTGACAGTAATTTACTTCCTCTTGCTGGGATGTTTGATGGCACGACAGTGGTGGAGATTGGGTGTAAGCAGAGGAGGAAGTGGACAGAACTGTTACACGGCAAGTTTACTTTATCAGTTTTAGGGATAAATGCCTGCTCACTGAGATACCAGAGAATCTTTAAAAGACCCTAAACTACATCCAGAGAAACACAGTGAAAGTCAAATCTGGTGTAGTGTTTAGTGTGAACATGATAAAGTCAGTTCAACCAACACATTCTCACCTGGAATTTTGGAATTGCAGTCAGAAGTTCAGAAAGACAGAATTATACACTCAGATAGTTTAATTAGTGGTTCTGCAGTATGTTTTAACTTGATTCTGTTTGGCCACAGCATAAGAAAGATTTGGATTTGACCAATCAATGGGACGATGGGAAACTCCAAGGAACTCAGTGAAGATGGAAGAACTATTGTAGAATTCCACAAGTTAGAAAGCTCTCTTGGAGCCATTTATTACCAACTCCAGATTTGATTAACATCAGATCAAATTGTATTTAAGTACAAGTTATTTAGAATTGTCACCACTTTGATTGAACCGTCACCCTCAGATGATCTAGAGGAACAAGCCAGGAAACACCGAGGCTCAAAAATGCCATGACCTGAAAGCTGCTGGAACACTTGCATCACCGTCCACAGTGAAGCGAGTTTTACGTCAGACGAGACAAAGATTTAGCCATTTGGCCACATTGATGAGGTAAATTTGAATAAGTAATGGTGAAGGTGGTTTTGCTGCCAGTGGTACTAGTACATTGCACAAAGTAATGAAGAAGGAGGACTACCTCCAAATTCTTCAAATCCACCTCAGTTCAGCAGCTTGGCAGCTGAAACTTGGACACAACTGGGTGTTTCGACAGAACAATGATTTCAAACACACATTTAAACTGGTTTTATCACCTCACTAGAACGTGGGCTGGTTCACCAACCACACTTGCTCTAACTTCATTCCCACCACAGCAGTTAGGTTATTGTCATGCTTTGTGTCTTTGCGGGTCACCTGACTGGCACGAGGCCCGACCAGAACAGTCACAGATCCACAAAATAACTGCGCTATGCCTGCTGCGCCTGCCAGGTACAAACTCTGTCATTGGGGGCTGGGCTGTGTTTCTCCCTCCAGAAAGCACCAAGGCTCAGGCCTGCCATGAACTGGAAACTGCTGGGACACTAGCATCACTGTCCACAGTGAACCGTGTTTTACATCAGATAAGACAAAGATTTAGCCATATGTGTATTTGGAGAACTAAAGATGAGGCTTTCAAACCTTGGAACACTGTACCAGTTGTCAACCATGGACCCACATATTGAAGGTGGTATGTACTCTATTGCTGTTGTTGTTTGATTTAGTTTGACACATGCACAAGTCTACACAACAGCAAAATAGACCAAAAATAATATTGTCTTCGCTAGATTGTTGTGAAAATTTTGTGAATGGCTGATTTGTTCCTTACCCGTCTCATTGAAGCCTGTGAGGAAATTCTCAGGTGGGCTCATTTACAAATATAGAATATTACTGTACTATTAGCAAATTAGTAATGAAGTGTATAAGAGCAGTCATTTAAACCAGACAGTTGTCTGAACAAATCTGAGCAATGACTTTTCTAAAAAATGAAATTTGACGAAGAATAAAGCAACAGTCTTCCATCAAGGCATCATTCATGCCTATAGTACTTTACGTCATATGGAACGTGGGCCTGAGCAAGTGCAGTTTAAATCTTAATTCTAGTGATTGATTTAAACTGTAGTGCTGGCACACTGTGGTGTAGTGGTGTTCAGTCTCACCGTGCAGGGAGGCTGCATCCAGGGCTCACCATCAATCTGCATTGGTAGCCGTCGGGACGTCCTGTGAAGAGACATCAGAGGGATGAAGAACAAGAAAGAGTGGGCAGAGGGCAGAGACAGTGAGAGTGGAAGACGAGAGGGCAGGGTGGGGTTGGGGGTTATGAGGGTCACACACACCTCTGAGGCCTGTTAACACTGTCCTAGGACAGGGTGAGACACTGCACCCTCTGTTCCCATGAGACCCTTTCCCAGACAAACTCCCACTCTTTAAACTCACACAACTACTGTACACACACACACACACACACACACACACACACACACACACACACACACACACACACACACACACAGAGTTGGTTTAGGACTTTCAGGCATGCCTCTGTGACTGGAGAAACACAGTGTGGGAGAATGACTGGGATGAATGCCCCTTTAATTCTGGTCTAGGAAAATATTAGTGGTGGTTTATTGAACAAGTGAGAGAACAACTTGTAATGTCACTTCTTTGCTGCAGTAACTGGCACACTAGGCATGTTAAATGGGCCAAGCGACGAGATCATTCTTTGGATAAAATAAAGTGTAAAACCAAAAAGCAATCCACAATACAATTTCAGTAAATGGACTCACATTTATGGCACTTTTACCCTCTCACTGAACACTCACAGCACTGAGTGCTGTGTAGACTACTAAGTGTATTTGAATTTGCACCGAATCATATCCAGTTAATTCTTTACTGCACTGACTTCTAACAGTTATTGAACAGTAAGTTAGGTGCATTTACATCTTTTTTTTGGAATAATTTTTTTAAATGACATATTTTGATATGTAATGATAGGTTAAGGCCTTCACTGATGATGACTTTGACATCAGAGGGTTAATAAGAATGACAAACTGTGTTTTTTGTGCAGCAACAGTGCGTCAAAGATTGTTTGCACAAACAAATAATGTTTTTGTTTGCGGGAAAAATCAGCTCGATCATTAATTATAGGCCACACATGACATGAGTCTGCACAGACTCACATGGATATGGGCAGATTGCATTTACATAATTCAGAACCACAATTAACATTCATCAGTCTGAGATAATATCTTCCCCACCATGAGACATCAGCTGAACAGCCTCAAGGTTCTCTATAAATACACAAAGAAGAATAAGGGTTCACTAGTGTAGCATCTTCATTTTTCTGCGTAATTGGAAAACCTGCAAGGAAACCCAAATCTAGCTATGAGAACTCCAAACTACAGCCCATTTGTTAGCCTGCAAGTCAGCCCAGAGCTCCAACAACACTCTTAGCACGACATGCATTTGGAATATATTATTTATTAGCTGCAGGCATGTTATTGTTTGGACACTGCAGGGATTTTAAAATGCACAAAAACACTCGCAAGGAATACATTTTTTATCCTGCATGTATAGGAGATGGATGCAATTGGTGCACCAAGTACAGCTTCCAGTTGGTTGATCAGAAGGAAGATAAAGACAGGCAGGGGTAGTGACACGAGACAAAGGCAGGATGGAGAACGGAGTACAGAAGGTGACAGAAGGGAAGAGGATCGTTCAAAGTGGGCAAGAAGATGTGAGGAACAGCAGGGAGATGGGGGTGCTGACCTGATGGTGACATTGGTGCACTGAGCCAGCCTGCGTCCTGCGCTCTTCAGCCCAGTGTAGATCTGCCCCATCTCTATAGCCCCCTCCAAGCCAACCACCTCCAGCAGTTGGTCACTAAAGTCTGAATGGTCACAGAGAGAGTATTAGAGACATGGAAACTGTGGCATGATTTTGGAATTTACAAAGAAAATACACATTTTTTGCCGCTTTGGAATACAAATGTGTTCCATTTGAGGCCAAGGTCAAATTTCTCAAGTGACTCAAGGTAACTGCTTGGGGTGCCACAGTAGTGAGAAAAAGCAATTGTTCTTCACTGCAAAGACCTGGATTTAATCTCTGGAAATGATGCTTCCAACTTGGCCCCATCAAACACAAATGGTAGTGTCAGATATATTTGTATCTTTTAAAGACTTTTAGCAGGATTTTTTGATTAAATGTGAAATTTTATTTTTTAATCCAATTTTCAATATATTTACTTCTTCAGGACTTTAAGAACGACTTTTTCCACCTACTGTGACTGAATGAAGACCTTCGCTTCCAGCCAATCTTAATGCTACAACTAGGACTCCAGGCAGCATGTATGATATTATAGTTGAAGGTGTCAAATGACTAAACTTTGCTTTACTGTGTTTTTTGACATAACAGTGAGTATCACCTCACAACTGCTTGTTTTCAAGGGAACTAAGGAAGAGAAGACATAGCTATGATTAGCATAATATAAACACATTAACACAGTGAAGCTGGAGGATGAACGCTAACTTTTTTCCACTTGATAACAGTTAATGTGAGGGTTCCCGGTGGTCAGGAACAAATGCAATCGCATAGCAGGACGCTGTAAACAGACCAAACTTCAGTCAGAAGAACAACTGAAATAATCCATCCACAATACGTCATTAATTTACTGCTGCATGGGCTGGGCTGTAGTTACATCGTAAGGTTTTAAAAACTGAGCTTTACAATGAACAGTGGTAATAAAACCAAGAGAGGCCGACGGTGATCACTGCAAGATACAAAGCATTAAAACACGTTAAAAACAAAACAGCCTTAATAAACACAAAATAGTTTGGACCTGGAAGCAGGGTTCATCACGTCATCACTTAAAGACCGGATAGCAACTTTCATACACAGCTATGCTACCACCTAGCATGCTTCCAGCTCACCCTGGCCAGATATAACTGAAGTTATTTGTTCTAATAAAACAGACAGCGCTAGTAAAGTTACATGTACAGTTTCTATGGCAGCAGGGATTTTGCCATTTAATTTATCATGAAATGACTTCAAACTAGAAAAAAAAACAAAAAAACAAAACGGTCCCCACAACTTTGGGTTGGAAGAATAAGAAACAAAAATTCTTGCCTTACTCAAACCTTAAAGAAGAAGCACTTGGAGCCCAAACCTCAGCTCACTCTCTGGGCAGTATTGACTTTTATGGCAGAGGTATTGTATTTCCTATAGAGTCATCTTGTTTTCTTTGATCTTTTTAAGCACAATTTAAGACATTTGTAGTGCAGTAAGAACCAAAGGGCAGGCTTTTGTTATTTGCCCTGTTGAAATCGATTTGAATATACTGGACATCATTTTGAGAAGAGTTATTTTTTAATTAGATGGAGAAATAAAGACAAAGGCAGATGTGAAATGGAACAGTGTTACTAGAGATCAAATGCAAACTATAATGTGATATTTAGAATCCTCATACATCGTTCCCTGTCTGGTATTAAGACACATAGTTTTAAATACCTTTGTGTGGCTTTATTATCACTTTGACCAGATTGATCTACAGACCTTAAAGGGGAGTTCAGAGGTCAAATGATATTTTAAATCCTTAGATGGCACTTTTTATATGTTGACAATGTACAAAGCACAGTTGAAAGGATCATAGTTTCTAGGTTATAAGCAAATATATCATTACGTTGACCTTGAAGACCTTTGTTGATGTAAGCCAAATTTTAATGGGTTGTTAACATGAGCCCACTCTACACCCCTACAAAGTTTTATCAGAATTCATTCAAATCTTTTCAAGCTATATTTGGTAACATTGGCATGTCTTTTCAAGACAGTAGTCATAGCAGCACTAAGGCTGTTTATGCAGGCTATTTAAACTTCAAAAAACTTCAAAAACGGGCAAGCAGCTGATTAAATTAGAACATTAATGCTGCTGCTGCACAGTTGGTGTGGTTGGTATGTTTTTTTGGGCTGGTGGGAACAAAAAAGCCCCCAGAAAAATAGCCAAGAATAGTTAGCAGCGTGTGGATCCACTGAAAGGGAAGTTTCCACAGTATCTTTCCTGTAATGCTGCACAGGATACTGCCCGTTTGTTATTATTCATAACAGTAAATTATTCATAACATCCAGTGAAGTTGCAGCCTAGCTAGTGCGATAACCCTTGTAATCATTTATGTCTATAAGCTTTTTATGATACCAGAAAAAAATAAATACACATTAAAGGCATTAGAGGCACCGGGAACTGGTGTCCATCACTGGACTTACATTGCTCCTGATGACGTGGGAGACTCTCAGTGGTAAAATACATCCTGTAAGAGTTGAGTCACATGATGGAAATGCTCTGCACCAGCACTTCTTTGTAGTCTTTTTCTTGTGTATTTATTGTTTTGATATCTAAAGTAAATGGACTGATTCTTATATAGCACTTTTCGTAGTACTCAAAGTGCTCTTTACAACATGCCACATTCACCCAAGCACGTTCTCTATAAATAGTGCTTTCGAAGTACATTCACACTCCAATGGATGCATTGGAGAGCAACTTGGGGTTAGCACCTTGCCCAAGGATACTTGATATGAAGACTGGAGGAGCCAGGGATCGAACCACCAACCTTCAGATCAGTAGATGACCTGCTCTACCTTCTGAGCTACAGTCATGTCAGTTTTAGAAAACAAATGTGTTGTTCCTACCTACTGTGGATTAAAATGAACCTGTATGGCTAATACAGACATGCATTGTGAGTGTAAGTGTTAATGTATATAAAATAAACATAAACATGAGAATCCAGGGATTGACTCAGATTTGGTCTCAAGGGTAGCTCGAGGAACCTCAGTCATCATCTCTGATCAGTTCATCGTTGTTCACAGTTTGACAAAATCGTCACTACAGTAGGGTCAGAGCTGGCACACGCAATTAACAGTCCACACACTCTTATCCTTGCTTACAGTACTCTGTTTATAGTAACCATTGTCCTTAATGTAAATATGTAAGAAAAAAATGGTGTATGTGTCTGTTCTGTGTCCTGTTTGTTTGTATATGTGTCTTTCTGGCTGCTGTTACAACCAAATTTCCCCTTAAAGGATTATTCTATTCCTTTCACTGTGTCTCTCCCAAACATTAGACACGTGACAGCAAAAACAAGCAGACCTGGTTAAATAATGCACTACACAAAGTGCGCCCTGTCACTTCTGAGACTGTGAACGCTTTAGCAGGCCGTGGCTCTTCATCAAACCTTCTGCCGGGCTTTTCCCTTTTCTGTTCTCACTGTGCTCGACAGGTGCGAGGCCTTACAGTCAATATTTACAGACATGATCTTAAAGGTCATTGATGATGTCATTTGACATTTCACTTTCACTTCACATAGCTTTTAAAGGATCCACTGGGATTGGGGGAATTATGCATCCGAGTGGCCCGGCAGCAATTTTGCATGTTTTACAAATTGTTGTGAAATGAATGATTTGTGTTCACAGTCAGTGTGATAATTTGTGAGGCGCTACAGCAGAATTTGTGCTGGTGGCAATTTTGTCTGCACTAATAAACTGAGGCGGCTTACAGATCACAGAGGAACAAGAACCAAGCTGAAGAACTTTGACTTTTATTTATTTTGTGTTTATACTTAATAACAATAATAATAATAATGATAATGGAAAGTGGATAGTGTGGTTTGGGCACAAAAAATAGACTCTGCATTGAGTCATATCCCACCTTCTGTAACCTCCGTGGCTAATCATGCAGGCTAGTGTGGTGCGCTCAGAGTTGATTAACTTTATTCAGGCAGGCAGGCAGGTGCCAGCTGAACACCTGAGCACGCTGCAGTCATTGCTCATGCATACAAAAGGCACTGGGTTTCTCCTGAGTGCCTTTATGCTGTTGCACTGACTCAACAGCTTAATGTCAGTCGAAGCCTCCGCTAAATATCTGCAAAGGTTGAATATTCCAAATGTTAATGGTGGGGAAAAGGTACAAAAAATCAAAGTACAAAGAGAGTAGATAAATAATGTTTGATGTGAAGGCTCCAGCAAAGTTTGCTTCTGTGCACGAGTGAAGAACAAATGTCTGCCAACAGCACCCACAGAGCGCGTCGAACCGTTCTCCGAGCATCTCACTCCTGCAGCCAGCCTACAAAGCTGAAACTGTTAGGGCTCTGTCTGTCTGATACGGTCTGAACAATGTTGAATAATTTCCTAATTTCGTCAGACCCTGCTGGTTTTATTTCAAAATACAAACAGGAAGTGCTCGTGTTTCTTCTTTGCTCTGAAGAGGAAATGGGCTTGGCAAAAGGCCACAGGACCCAAAACAAGTCTCATAAAATTTCATGTGTGGAAGATTTTACGAAAGAAGGTGGTGCAGTATGTAACCTGTCTACTGATGACTTCATTTGAATTGTCATGTTGACTGAAGGATTTTGGAGTCACTAGTTCATCATCTAAAACTTAGGTTTCTAGCAGTATTGAAAATAAATCATTTTGTAGAAATAACATAAAAATTGTCTAATGAAATTTTCTTTGTATCATTTTTGATTTTCATTAACCTGTCAGTAATGACATTAGATCATGAATATATCACAGATGAAGGAAAAGACCTGATAAGTCATTAAAAATATTCTAGTAACAAATCTTATGGATCTTATTAATTGCTAATATAGATTTACAGTTTGAGGGTAAAAAGCTCCACTGTGGACTGGAACTGGTTTTGCAACATTTCTCATCTTGCTTTTTGCATCTACTTAAAAAAAAGAATAGTTACCAGTTCTTTGGTGAAATTAGAATACCTGCTGAGTAATGCAAGCACTCCCATGTGTTGGTGCATGTGTGGTATTTGCAAAGTGCTCCAAAGACGACGACGACGATGATGATTATAAGAGTTTATCGGGGAAAACGTCTGTGCTGACTCACTGGTAC